TCGGACATGTATAGGTTCGTACGGTTGTGTGAGACTAAATGTGTAATACTCTCCTCGTCGCATATCTGTGGGTATGTATCCGTGTATGGTAAATGCACGAGACATGTGTATGTATGTATGTATGTGTATGTATGTATGTATATATGTGTATGTATGTATGTTTGTATGTATGTATGTATGTATGTATGTATGTATGTATGTATGTATGTATGTATGTATGTATGTATGTATTTATGTATTGTCGCTTATCTTGCCCCCATCATAACACATCCACCTAGGCACTTGTTTGGTCTGGCGGTGCTTGCCATGGGGCTGAACTCAAAGTTCGGATGGTTTGCGCAGGAGACAGCGTTCCTCAAGTCCGCTCTCACACGCCCATGGACCATCTCCAGTAGCCAGGTGGGTGAGGCTGCTGAGACGTGCTTACGCTATAATGCTGTATCATATCCTACACTAAGCTACTACTAAATAATAATGCTTGCTTACGCTATATTACTGTATCATATCTTAAACTATGCTAGTACCTAATAGTAGTGCTTGCTTACGCTATATTGCTGTATCATATCCTACATCTATGTTAGTACTATGTTAGTACCTAATAGTAGTGCTTGCTTACGCTATGTTGCTGTATCATATCCTACACTATGTTAGTACTATGCTATTACCTGATAGTAATGGCACGCACTCTACAACCGTTGTGGCCTACAAGGAACGCTTTGTCACCCCCGCGCTATGTTAGTATCTTACTCTCAACCTATCTTTATATACAAATGGGAGCATCTCATATACACCATAGCGACGCACCAATCAAAGGGTTTTAGGGTCTGGGGTTTAGGGTCATAGCTCACACACGCCTTGCATTGGGTGTACGGTGTAAGGTTAGCGCCTACGAATAGTCCTCTTGATATCCGGAGAACGTCGCAAGACTTTCTATCGAGTGTGTGGTACAAAGTTGCCGTGGATCCGCTCTGTTTGGAAGTGCCACTTATCAACTGTGTTCTCGCGCTAGGTAGTCAATTCACCTGGGCTGTGACTTCTTTTCGAATGGTTGGCGCGGCCCTATACGTTTATGTGCACCGCTTAGTGTATTGCAGGGCCGTATGCTCATAGAAGTCTCATCGGCGTCGAGCGGTGTTATGGTATTACCAACCACCGTCTACCTTTCTAGTGTGCACATTCATGTTTCTTAACTCATGCGCCACTTTCTGGTCTTGATGAGCCAGTTCTGCCTACCTGCTCACTTTCGCCCCTACCACGTGGGCAATTTCAAAATACATATGTAGCAAAAGCTGACACGTACGAACGAATCCTGTATTTTTGGAATATATGAGTAGGTGCCACAGTCTCAATTGACAAGTGTGGGGTTGGATGAGGATATGAATGTACCAGGCCTGGGTGGCTTCGGAGCAGTGGATAAGTATGTATTGGCTATGAGCATGAACACTTTTCTACTGACAAGTGGAGTTGGCACATATATATATATATATATATGTATGAGTATGTGTAGGAGTATTGGGTCGGATATTGTAGAGTTGTCGTCTTACGCGTGTCTAACAATTGTTTTTTTTGCGTCTGTGCTAGTATATAATTATAACACCCGTACTAGTGCATTCTCCCCAATCTCAAGTTGCAGAACCGGGTTGTGTACAAGTGATTGTCACCCAATCGCTTTCCCTACGCTCACTCTGTACTCTGCTTCATTCCTTATTGATTCAGACTCCAGAGTCTCATACGTATTTTCTGATCACACATTTGAACATCTCGCACGTGCAAACCACTCACTGCTCAATCATAAGGGATGTACGGACCACAATACGCTAGCTAAACCCCAAACCCTAAAACTCTAAAGCGATAAACCCCTAGAGAATTTGAAGACGCGCTGCATGTATTTAATTACTTCCAATGCAATGCAACCCAATCCCTAACACAGTGGCTCCTGTCTCACACACTCACAGGACTGGTTATGGAGTCGGCTACTGCTTCATCGGCAAAAACAGGTACGCAAATTCGACTCAACTTGTTCATGTACTATTCATGTAACTAACTATACACACACATCACCACTAGTTACTCCACCTGTCCAGGTAGATGCCAGCCTTAACCCAGTGTCTCACTCCACCGTCTCCCCACTCCTTTGGTACACACAGGGTCATGCTGACAGTTACCAGCTACCACAGCTGCGAACGGACCAGCTCACAGCGCTTCTTTGAGGCCCTGACTCAGAGCGTGGAAGACATGATGGCCATTTGCTAACGCACGCTTGTCCGGGTCAACAAGTAGATGCCTGTTGAATGTACCAGCGAAGGGTATCACGTATTAAGAAATGCATGTACAGCGCTTGTATGCACAATTTATAGCATGCCAATCTGCCCTCATATCACTACCGCCTAGCCTGAACGCCGCGCTGGAGGTTTTTGAACCAATGAAGGAGACAGCCTATTGGGAGACTCCATGGCAGCTGAGATCTCCGAGTGAGCTTGCTGTTATGAGTGCCTTTGATATAGTGAAACTAGTATTTAGCAATAAAACCTGAACTGACCCTACCAGAAAAACACTGCATATTATTTTAAAAGGCGGTTTCAGACACGCCTTCACTATGAAGTCTAATTCCAGATGCACAATGTTTGTTATTTATTCATTCATTGGCTAGGAATAAAATACAGCATCGAACAAGCCTTCAATGTGTACGATATAGTCTATTTCAGATGCACAATGTTTGTTCTGGCTAGGAATAAGATGCAGCATCAAACAAGCCTTCAATGTATACGAAATAGTCTAATTCAGATGCACAATGTTTGCTATTTACTTATTCATTGGCTAGTAGTAAGATACAGTAACAAGATACAGTATCAAACAAGCCTTCAATGTATACGATATAGTCTAATTCAGATGCACAGTGTTTGTTATTTATTCATTCATTGGCTAGGAAAAAGATACAGCATCAAACAAGCCTTCAATGTACACGATATAGTCTAATTCAGATTTCATTGACTAGGAATGAAGACGAGAAAGCATCAAACAAGCCTTCCATAAATCCGATACAATTCAATTCCAGATGCACTATGTTTGCTATGTATAAATTCATTGGCTAGGAATAAGAGACAGTATCAAACAATTCTTTAATATGAACGGTATACTCTAATAATTCAATAATTCCAGATGCACAATGTTTGTTATTTCTGATAATGGAATAGCTACAACCTCGTAGTTGATTAGTGCTGCGTAGGCCGCAGAGGGCGCTGATGTGATCGACATTCTATCGTATGCATACCTACCTTACACGCTTTGCGGAGGAGACTAGATTAGAGATATGTGCGTACGAGGTTTAGTTGCTCATTCGTAGTATTAGATACAAATAGTATCATTATTACAAAGTGAGTATTAGGTATAAAGTGAACGTCTCTTTATGTTCAACGGTATGGTCTGGCGTCAAAGCGTTCGACAATCACATCGATTATGGGTCGACGCAGACGTAGAAAGGAAAACAAAAGAATTATATACACTCCAGTGTATCGTATACAGCCCAATGAATTAGATACAACTCAATGTGTCATATACTACAATGTGTTAAATACAACCCAGTGTATTACATTACAGCCCAGTGTATTATTTACAACCCAATAAACTATATACAAACCTGTGTATTATACTAAAATCCAGCGTATTATTATACAACCCAGCGTATTATATAACAACGAAATGTATTATATTACAATCCTGTATAATATATTACAATACAGCGTATTATATTACAACGCAGTGTATGATATCACATCCCTGTGTCTTACATTACAACCCAGCGGATCATATTACAATCCAGCGGATCATATTGCATCCCATAATATTGTAGTACAACGCAGTGTATTATATTACAACCCAGCGTATAATATAGTACAACCCAGCGTATTATAATACAACGCAGTGTAATATAGTACAATGCCGTGTATTGCATACTACCTAGTGTATCAGCGGACGATGATCTTTCGCACTGCCAACGGTCACATAGAACCCAACTGTTTGTTATTGTTGGGGCAAATTTGTGTGCAAATCTGTGTGCGTGTTCAGCCCAGACAGTTTACATAATTGTTAACGCATACGTGGAGTGGGTGCCGACTTGGTGGGCGTTTATACGGATAGCAGTCGGATTCGTCGCGAGAGGGGTTGCACGTAGATTCATTGCAATGTTGTTGTTATAAGAGCTAATGTCCATCTTTATGACACCCGTTTTATTTGATTGTCCTTGCATAAACTCTAAACATTGTTAAAATAAAAAATTATTAAGCGCGGCGGGGGGCGCAAACCCCGACTGAAAATCACAGGTCAAATGACAAATATACACTTGGGTATTCACAAGGCATATCTATATTCTATATTTAGCTATACAAACTTGAGCTTTTAAAAAAAGGCTTATCTTCATTCTATATTGAAGTACTACACTAGAGCATTTTAAAGGGTTTATTTTTAATATTCTCTATTTAGTTATACACACTTTAAGCATTTAGAAGGTTTATTTCCATTCTATATTTAATTTCTTTAGCATTTGTTGGACAACTGCCTATGGGGTTTGCTATTTGCGTGTTCGTACGTACTCGACGACTCAAGAACGTCGCGTACATAGCACGCCGAATTGTGACAGTCACATATACCTCTATAGGTTCGAGGCTATGCATGCCTCGTATATGTTGATTGTTGCCCACAACGGGCTTACTATAATTCATTATTAGTCTACTAACATCTCGGATGTGCTACTCATCCATCGCCAATTCTCTCGTGGAGGTGTGTCTTGCAGTGACTTCTCCCCCCGAGGCTATTGCTCGGCTCTACCTTCTATCGGAGCAGCGTAATGACTGCGGTTCTATTTCGTCGGTAACGTTTGGCGGAGCTGTGACGGGCATCGCATGCTTTTGTACTTATTTATATTTAAGCTCCGCGTTTAACGCTTGTGTATGCCATCCATCCATACAAGCACACACACTTATCGGTGCTGTGCGCGTGTCTGTCAACGGCCTAGGGGTTTGGCGGTTTTAGGGTTTAGTAAAACCAAGAATTGATGTGAGCTAGTCTCTGGTGAGTGTACCACCGCACCGCATGTGGGTGCGTCGTCTCAGCTACAGATGAGATATTTGAATCTATGGCATTCATATCGCAAATACCACTCGTGCGCCATTCAGCGCATAGCAACTGAATCGGTGCAGAAGTGCACTACTTCCGAAAGGATTCTCACCCCAACGGAATCTTATTTCGCAAGGTGGCCAGATCAGCATATATATATATATATATATATATAAATATACATATATATATATAATGTGTGTATATAGAGTACGCATACACCCTACAGCTTATCCGATGTCTCTGTTGAACTCTGACCCAGATCAGTACTGCTATTGACCTCAGATACGGAGATAGTGCCTTTAGTAGCGTAGTCTCTGGCGACTTCCATCTTCTTCTTACCTTTCCCGCCCTCAATGGGTGCTTCGCCCAGGACTGACTCACTGAAATCTACAGAACACAGCTCTCTGCGCACAATGATATGAAAATATTAATAATGATATGATATAATAGCAATGATATAATGAAAACAACAATGGTACGATATTATTAATTATATGATAAAACAATGATATAGTAAAATTAGCTATGATATATTAATATTGACAATGATATAATGGTATTAACAATGAAACAATAATATTAACAATGATATAATAATATTAACTATGAATATAATAATAGATAACCACTTCAATTTCGTGGTTCTCTATGTGTATGTAAATGCACAAGTACTGTGCTGCGGCTCATTGGCACAGATTCTCACTTCACACATATGAAGCGTACAATACAACTATTACATGTCAATATCATCATGCACTATGCGCAGTGACGAGGTATTTTGCGTCACGCAGTAATTTGAGCTGGAATTTACAGAAAATCGGGACAAAAGGATTAAAGTTTGGGACCAATTGAGACCGAAATGTATGACTTACACACAATCAGAGATGATTTGGCCTGCTACAGCAGTAGCTGGTGTTCCATTTCGCCCGATGGGTAGGGAATGGCCTCGTCGCAATTCGGTGCCTTCGATTGACGAACCAGGTTTCGGCGATCTGTGCGCAATAGAGAAGTGTGGATGAGCCACAATGCTGAATGAAGTGTAGGTAAGACACGGTGTTCGATTAAGTACGGATAAGCCACAATGCTCGATGAAGTGTAGGTAAGAAAGTTAAGTACGGATAAGCCACAATGCTGAATGAAATGTAGGTAAGGCACGGTGTTAGATTAAGTACGGATAAGCCACAATGTTGAATGAAGTGTAGGTAAGGTACAATTTGATATGAAGTATAGTTGTCATACGATGCAGCCGTACATGGAGTTACATTATTAGACGGTGCATAACACTTACGATCATAGAACAATGAGTGTATCTGTCAAGCTTCTATCTTATACCACGCAAGTCTTATATGGTGTTGCAATAGAAATCTCATACAAGATACGTACCAGAGCAATGCACAAACAGAGATGATTCAAAAGCGCTTACAATATTCTTGACTGTGAGCTCAGCGTAGGGGTTCTCCTGAGGATAGAACTGCCGCGGGAAGGCACATCCAGGAGCGCCCCGCCTGACGAGGTAAACATGGAGGACCGCTGCGTATGACAGAGAATGGTAACCATGGCAACCGCACAAACAAAACATCAGTGCTGTGCAATGGTATGTAAGTTCCAAAGACGTCGAGCAGCCAGAGTGATACTGAATACTGTGACATAATCCATGAGACCCTTATGGTCAATGTGAAGCTCCGACAACGTTCTGAACGGGTAGGCATGATACTACGCGAAGCTAAACGCAACGGGTTATAACCCGAGGATTAGAACCTGGGGAATTGAACATCTCCTGAGTATGAGAACCGATGGTTAGAAAGGCAAGCCACCCACGAAAAAAACAACTACAATCACATCTCACACCCTCAAGATAAATGTAGAGTTAAGTGCAACTACAACCTTATCCCACACACCACTAAAATCTATATCGGGGTAGAGTCAAGTGGAGTATACATACCATCGGTACCGATCCCCCGATTTCAGCGCTCGAGCTCTTGGACAGCGGTTGGCAGCCTATTGAGTGCCAAGGAATCACAGGGCACAATGTCAGTAGAGATATGATGCGTGTTCCTGTTATGATATATATATATATATATATATATATATATATATATGTGTGTGTGTGTGTTGTATATGCATATGTATATGCATATTCATATATATACGTACACATATACATGCATATATTTGCCTATACATATACATATACATATACTTATACATGTACATATACATAATACATATAAATATGCATTACATATAAAGAATCGTGTCATCTATATGGATGCACTATGGGGTGGATGTGTGTATCGGGCTATGAATTGACTATAGTAAAAAAAAGAGGAAATGGTGGATAACTGTGACAACGTCTCGTACGGACACACGCACAAATATACATGCATGTACACATGCACATGCACGTGCATAATACAAACATATGACACTCAGAGATATACACACCCTTGATGAATATACTTATTCTATTCCTATCACTTCGAAGTAATTGCACATACTTGCGCGGGGGCCATCTCCAGGAGTATCGCGAAGCCTGGGGCTGGCTTTGAATCGGTTACACGGAGGATGATTCCCGCTGCGTACAGGAACAGTTGGACGTGTGAGTGTAATTTTAAAAGTGAAATATCTGCTGCATATACCACACATACAAGAATAGGCTGATGAAATATGTATAGGCTAAGTAGCAAGTACGGGTATAATTGCTTGGTACAAACAGGTATCGTTCGAGAAAGTAGAAAAGTAACACTTCATGCTCGTGGCATATGCACTCGATGATCAGTGCGCCATCTGTACGGTATAGGCCAACGACACGCGAATACGGTCACAGAGTGTGTCTGTACGCAGATACTCTACGATACAGTCTCCCAGCATAAGATATTCGACAATATGCCACCATATATATATATATATATAACAATTGCACAGACACAGACAGACACAGACACGGACATACGCTATTTGTACATAGCACACGAACACTGCACGAACTGTGCGCTAGCACATCTACACATTAAAAGCAAACACACACCCCCACACACCCACACAGACACTATACAGCATACGAAAAAGCAACTACACGAATACACCCACACACCTCTGCCAACCTATCAACAAACAAGTACTCACAATAACACCCACACACATACGTTTCGGACATGAGACTCTTTCGCATCTCTTTGTTCCTGTCATGATAGATCAATAATAGTTTATAGAAGACCAACAGCGCGGCTGTTACCATGAAGTTGAGCATGATGTACACGCTTCTGATAACCAGGGTTGTGTTGTTGTCACTGGGTGCTGTTTGTAAAGTGTTTATGGAGTGATTAGCAGATCAATACGATGTGATGTGTTTATGACATATAGCGGAGGTAAGTGATATGAAAGAAAACGTTGTAATCGACACGAAGGAAATGTATTTCAGGCTTGTGCCTCAACTTGTTTCTCTATACAAGTTGGGTTCATGATGAATCGATATGTATACACACACACACACACATACATATATATATATATATATATTCACAAATACACACACACACACTATATATATATATATATATATATATATAATAGTATATATATATATATATATACATATACAAATACATGTACAAATACATATATATATATTGCATACATATATACATATATACATATATTCATACATATATACAAACATACATACACACACACATACATACATGCATACATGCATACACACGCACATATATATATGTATATATATATATTTACACACACACACATACACACACACATATATATATATATATACATATATACATATATACATGTAAACATATATATATATATATATAGATATATAGATAGATAACTGATATGGCACATACTGAGAAGCAGGATTGGTATGGCTCCTACGGTCAAGAAGATCCAATTATAAATGGCCATTCCGATCAGACTACTCTCTTTGAAATCGGATGGCACTCGGCGCACCTGGAATGCCAATACAGCTCCCACCTGATAAAATTAATTTGTATCTGATCAATTTGAGCTGGATTAGAATCTATTTTTGGGAATTGGATTTCTTGGGTTTCTAGGGTTTGGGGTGCGCAGATGTGGGCCCGATGGGGAGCGTATCTTTCTCTCTAAGAGGCTGTATTGTGCATCTGTGTATTTCCGCGCGTACGTTCGGCAAGCATACAGACCCAAGAAAACTTGGTTTACACTCAATAAAAGCCATCACAAACACACACACACACACAGAAGCAACACACATACCGACATCATCGCGGCTTGTGATGCGAGAATGACATATTGGTCCACACTCATAGGGCACGTGAGCCACAGCTTGTCCCCTACCAGAACAATCTCTTTCGAGTTGTCTGTGAGAGAGTAGTAGATGGCCAGGAAGACTACCGTAACGCCCATCATGACGCTCAGACTGATCAGCAATTCCCTAATGAAGGAGATGCGCAATTCGGTGCTTAAGCAAGATCAGTCCCCGCACATGAGACTCTGCTGCATACTCTCTAAACTAAAATATTGAAGTGAGCTGAGAAGGAAAATTTGTGTTTCCATGGCAATGGAACGGGTGGATAGTATGCTTCAACATAATTGTGAAAGTACCGAACTATAAGTTAAAAGAGTACGTCATCACTTGATGGGCACACGTTTATAACACAAATGACATGTCTTGCACCCTGCACCTGCAATAACGAATTTGACAAACATATATACATACATGATACAAATTTACATATAGGTATAGATACGAATATATATATATATATATATATAATATAATGTACACACACACATATATATATATATATATATATATCCTTCTAGAGTGCTAATCAATACGTACGACTTGGCAATTGACGTAAACCATTAATTATTAGCTATATCACGTTATTTGACTCTACTAGACCTTCCCCGCTGTACCAATTATTAGCCTGTACCTACTCAAAGTGTAAATATCTCAAACATACAACATACATAAGCAAATATCTGTCTATCCCACCGCCTGAAACCTGCATCCGAAAACTCGTCTGTCACTGTTAGTATGCAACAGATAACACCCCACTCGACTGTACACAAGTCCCGTACCTGTTACTGCACTTGAGTCCCTGATTGAGGGCGTTCAGGCTGGAATTGAAGATCATACTGATGCGATACGTTTTCACAAACAACGATCCGAATGTCAGCACAAAGCCAATGGCCCACATAAACGAGGACACAACACACGGCCACGCCGATTCCGTTTCTATGGCGCCTATGAGCGGCTGTAAATTAAGAAATGGCGCAACAGAATTAGGATGAATATTGAAAAGACGCGATGAATGCGCAAGATTTGCATCGGAGCGAGGGTAAGATCTGGATGACAAGTGTATGTAGATGAGATTTCCAATCCAAATGATATCATGCTAAACAATCTCTTCCGAGCTGTCTATAAACGTGCGCGGTGTATATATATATATATAAAATATAGATATATATATATATATATATATATATAAATAAATATAGATATATATATATATCTGGCAGGGCTGTCTATTCATACTATGCACTACCAGCATCGCACTTGTAGGTACAAGCGCACCACCGGACTACCCACAATCTCAGCCACCACCACATCCACAACCACAGATACATACCGAAGGAACGGCTATAATACACCCGACGAGCATGAGGTTTAGGAACATTGAGCTGGCACGACGAATGCGTGGGTGCTTGCGAAGATAGATAATGGCTACCAGAGAAGCGATGAGAAGCAACTCAAAGACGCCGCATAATAACCCCAGTATGATCCACTGGCCTGTGCCGACTTGGCCCCTTTCTGTGGCAGATGGATATGGGGGGGGGGGATGTTGCTTATGAGATGATGCGAGGATGTGGACATTTAGTTGATGTGGTAATGTTGTACTATTTCGTTGATAAAAATATGCCGTTAATTAGCTGGTATTGTTGTTTGCAAGAGGACGCGAGCATGTTTTCTATTTGTTGATGTGAGCATGATGTTAATTAGTAATTATTTTTGTTATTTACGAGTTAACGTAAATATGATTTTTTGAGTTGATGTGAATATATTTTACATAAGTTGATGTGGGTATGTACATACATACATACACACATATATACATATATATGCATACATACATACATCCATACATGTATATACATATACATACATACATACATACATGTATATACATATACATACATACATACA